CAAAGTGTATCTCTCATATAAAATGATAGTAGGCTAGTGCAAAGTGTGGTTGAGTCAAGGTTCAAGGTCATTTCATTTGAACGAGTATTAGATTTTTATAAACATATATGTTTACTCAATTTGCAATAGTTATTTACGGGTCCGGAAACGAGTGGGTTTATACTTCAAGGGTAGACTCCTTGAATACAAATAAACCAACTTAAATCAAGTAATTTTAGTACAATTTTTCTGTCTTAGAATTTTACAGGTTTCAAAGCTACAATTTATTGATCAATTAATTCATGAAGTCGCTTCATCAAGAAATTGGACAAGTGTAATGCACCAAATCAGCTGTCAAATAACTTCATGAATTTATCCATCAAGTTCTTGAAGAATTAGAACATGTTCTAATTTTCGTCAATTTCTTCGTGAAGTTCGGATGTACCAACCCAACAGATTTCCAGCCTCAGATCAGTAATGAGGTTATGTTATTGGAATATGTAAATAATTGTGTGGCGTCGTTCTAGTTTTGCATTGTTTTTACTGATTTGTTACTTACAAACACTAATATTTATATAATATGTGTCAGAACGGTACCGCTGTTATATCACTACAATTATGAGTGGAAAGGTGACATTTTTGAAATTTATTTGCTTCTTTGATTCGTTGGTAGAACTGATTAATGCGTCAAAAAACTTGACAAAGTCTGTAGCAGTGTAAAACCACACTGTTTACCAATAAATTCGTGAATTAATTCATGAAGAACTTCGTCAATTTATTCATCAATAAATTGTCACTGTAAAACAGCTATTAGGCTTTCCACAAGTATATCATTCAGTTTGACTACAGAAACTTAATATATTTGGTGTGGTCACGAATTACTAACGTATTTTCGTTCATACCATCAAAATAGAATGCAATATGTCACATTTAGCGGTTTCACATCTAAAACCTACACTGGGTTCCTCAGGGATCGAATTCAGGCCACGACTATTTCTCCTATTCATTAATGATTTAATAGTATAAAATCTATGCTCCCTTCTCTTTAGCCAATTAGGCCCACTCATTAAACCTTTACCTAGCTTGGAATCTCTATTATTACCCATTACAGAAAATAAAGTGACGTTTCATAAAACACCTGCGTTTCATTAAAATTTCTACTAATAAAGAAAAAAACTGTTTCAAATATTCTTAGGTCAATGTTATAGACAAAATAAATAAATAATGTCTGTTCATTTTCTGCTCCCTCAAAACCAAATTCCGTTTCAGTGAAATTATATTAAAAAAATTATATATTTGATGGCCCGTAACTTTTTAAGGATACAAAGTTGCGTTAAAGTAACTTGTTCAAAATCTGTTTATTTTTTTTGTTCACCCCGTAGATGCTTTCTTTCTCTTTAGCAAAATGAATAAGTGATAAGTATCAAAACAGATAAGTTCTGAAAATGTCTACAGAAACAAATATCTATTTTGTAAATGGAATGCGTAACACAAATGTTGGTTTTCCAGTTTTTCCACCCGGTAGCCACGTCGCTTATTGATTTTTCCGACGCTATTAAATCGCATTAAAATGTTGAGAATGCCATTTTCCCGGTTGCATCACGGAGGGGAAGATGTTATATGGACCATAAAGTTAACATTCGATGTGCGCAAAGTTGTAACGCCCGATTTATTGTTGCAATTTCCCTCACATACTTACTATGTATTATTTATTTCTTATTTATTTACCCTCGAGTCGGACCTAACGACGTATACAGTGAGAAAGTTCCTCGGAAAGGAGGAATATAATGAAAAGCTAAATTAATGATATATGTAATACACTCCTGTGTATCTTTGTTAAATGTTTAAGTTCAGCTGTAAATAATGTTATAGGTAATGTTAAATTATTATTTACTATCACTTTTATTATTATGAAAGCCAAAGCTATGAATGTCAGGAGATGCGATACATAGAACGAAATATCCCAACCGTGGTGTGAATGTGAATATGGTGTGCCTACGCGCATGTGGTGACGTCACTTGAGAGAAAGACTGACGAGATCATGGCGTACATGAATGTGGAAATTATACCTTTTGAGTCTTACGTATGGAGATCGACTTTAATTATCTATTTACATATATGTATATAATATTATACAGCTGCTACGTGTGTCAAAACGAAAGTCTGCATCTCGTTACTGACGTCGTCTGCCGATAGAACGAAACTGAGCCAGCTGACGAGCACTCCGTACTTCGTACTATGATTTGGTCTGATCTGATATGATCGTATCTGATAATATGTCTTAATTGCTCCAATCTGATGTGATCAATCTAGTCCGTTAATTCAGTTATTTAAAACTTTTATGAAGCTATTTAAGGGAGAAAATTTGTAGCTTAAAATTTACCGGAGTAAACTTCGTAGGAGAAATTACATATCAAGATTAACCAAGTAATTGATTATGGATATGATATACGTCTATCTCCATTATTTAATTAAAATTTCTGTCCAACCACAACTAACCTAACCTCGAATTTCATTGTTTCATTTTGTGGTTTTTGTCTGAAACAATAAAAATAGTGTTAAGGAGGTTTATCTGATTTGGAATTGACGAACAAATATTCATAAAAAAATTAATATAAGTTTATTAATATGAAGAAAATCCTCAAAAAAAAATATGACTGTAGTAGGAACATATTCGATGCAAAGTAGAGCAAAAAATTGTCGGCCTTTTATCAAAGGAAAATCGTGTCATCATTTTTAGGAGGATTTCAAATTTAAAATGAAATTGAATGAAAAATCTGAAATACCGCTGCATACGCACTGTGTTCTGGTACTAGCTGTAGTCGGCCAGGTGCATCGAGTGTACGAAGTGGTCGGTTATACGTCAAATACTAACCTGGCGAGCTTGATCGTAAAGCAGGGAACAATAAACAGTGGCGCGTACAGAGGTGAAATGTAATACATATGTGGAATTTAAATAACGAATTGGATTTATAATAAATTACTTTTAAAACAAATAGTTTATGAGAATAAAGGGATTTTTGTAGGAACAGGGTACCAGACGTGAATTGATCCCTTCATCGCACCCCATTACGATTCTTTTTTTTATAAGGAGAACGAAGTTTCAAAGCAAAAACCTTGTATAACAGATATACTATAAATATTTACAGAATGAAAACAAAATATAAATCCTACGATATGATTCTATCAAATGAAAACACTAACAACAATTCTCTATCAATCTCAACAAAATAAGTTATTTTTCTATCAAACAAGAAATATTAACAAATTATAAACAAAATATAAATTCTATGATTTATATACTGTACGCCGAATTGCATTTTTCTCATCTTCATTTAATATTAATTTCTTTCCACCCCCTTTTTTAGGTTTCTTAACGTCTCCTTCATTTTTCTTCTCTTAAAATTTTGAAAACACATCTAGAACACATTTCCACCAAACCAGTCTTCAGTTTCATGGGATGAGTACAGTACATCCGGCTTGCGAACATCCAGGCACCGCCTCCATTTCTCCATATAACGACAACAGAGCAATAATAATACAAAAAACTTCACTTCACTAGCACAGAAAATACAATAGCATTCACGATTCACAAACAACAGCCTGAAACACACACACAGCACACAAATAAAACACTAAAAACACTTTTGTTATGGAGCACAAGACATATGATTTCACTCACAAATTCTCAAATAATAGCGCGAAACACACATACAGCCCGAACGAAATATAATTGCTTATAGCAGTTATAACCTCACAAATATCGCTAGCGAGAGACACGCAGCACCAATACAACCGAAACGAAACTGACCATGCCGGACCGGCACGCGCGCTGCCGCAACAAACACAAGACGCAAGTCATATGAGGGAGGATGAAAGGAGTAATAAATGTATTGTTGCCCTGCCGCCCTATGTGCGAAGGAGATGCATTTGTTTTTCATTTTGTCCTTCATAAATATATAACTATTAATCCATAATGCATAAAGAAATTATTCAATATCCAAAACCCCCTAAAACGTGTTGCACTGATTCCCTTGACAGGCAATGATTTATTACTTTGCATCGAATATAATCCTACTATACTTTGGATACCTAAGACACGAGATATTAATAAAATAATTTTTCACGATTTAGTACAGTCTTATGAGAATTTGGTCTTTCCACTTAGAATGCGCAGCAATTGACAAACAGTTTTTACAGCAACTTGTATAAACAGGTAACCGATATCTAAGGAACCGTATGACAGGTCGTAGAAATCGATTAGGTACTTGTAAGATACATAATTTATAATAATTCTCCTTCAAACTGCTGTTGTTGATTAACTTAACGTCCATATGCGTGATAGCGGCAACGCCGCGGTTCTCGACGTAGCGTATTATTTGAAATTCGCAGGTGTGACATATGGTGTATATTTCAAGCTTAGGCATCCAAACAAAGCCAGACAAGTGCAACGGTGCCAAATCTAAAGGCTTACTACTTTAGTTACTAGGGAATGTACAGAAACTCTCGTTAGACTTTATAAACCTCCTTTAAGTGCATGATGAATATTTGCATTGCACGTATAGTATTGAGATTGTCGTTTAACAAGAGCAATTGAAATATTTCATTCCTTTTGGAAAAAGTACATTAACCTATATGGGTATAGATGTTATTGTTAAGACGATATACACTTAAGTATGGAAATAAATTCCCGATTGAGATTATCTTTTAAATCTGTTCTATTATATACTTTTTACATTTATGTAAAGCATGAGGAACTACTTACATTCGTTTTTCGCTCCATAGAGTTCAGATCTTGTAGTGAGGTCTTTCACCCTATTCGTTCACACTTCGTTTAATATGTACATACATCTGTGTTTTCGATTCTCTCTCTTAATTATCAATATCCATCTCGAGGGAGCCAGAACTGAATAAGAGTTAGCTTTAGTACTACGGGAGCCAGCAAATAAAATATATAAACAGATCCTTTACCGTAATATTTTATAGTAGGGTGTCAAAACTCATGTTGAACATTGTTTTAGACCAGTATCGGCGTATGCGTTATTCTTCCGTGATACTCAAGCTGCCATAAAGGGACAGAATCCGAACGCAAGCTTCGGAGAGGTTTCCAAAATCGTGGCCTCGATGTGGGACGCACTAGACTCCGAACACAAGAACGTGAGTATAAATTTCAACTCGATCATTTTAAGATACATTTCATTGATCTTCATAATTTGATTTCAGGTGTATAAAAAGAAAACAGAAGCCGCAAAGAAGGAATATCTGAAGGCTTTGGCCGCCTACAGGGCCAGCTTAGTATCCAAGGGCGCCGGAGAAGGCGAGGGCATGTACGGAAATTACAGTAACTACCAACAGGGCGCGCCACAGTACTCCTCCTATCAGCCACAAGGAACCATTCCATCGCCCCCGATGACGTCAGCGCCAACTCCGCCCACACAGTCGCCCATTGGGAAGAAGCCCTCGATGATGGGCAACATGAACCCGTCGCCCCAGCAGCAGCATCAGAGCATGATGCAGTCCAACATGGGACCAGTGCCAAACCACATGAACATGCAGCACATGCAACAACAGCAGCAGCACAGCAGTTATATGCAACAGGTGGGAAATTATTTTAAATCTTTTTTCCTATATATTTCAGGTCGAAAATAGTAGGCAGTGAGTCATACATAAATCAAACCCCAATTTTTTACTACATCTTAATTCCGTTTCCAATTCCAATAAGTGTTAGAAATTAAATCACATGCAGGTGTTGGTGGCTATTATTCTGATAATCGGGATAACCGTAAACGACCAAGTTTAACAGTACAAAATCGTTATTGTATTATAAGTAATGTGTATAAGGGAATTTGAGCACGAAACGTTGATATGTTGGCAGGCCCGGATCCAGAGACTGGTTTTGGGGGAGGCGCAAAGCACTTCTTTATCATTATCATTATTATTATTATTGTTGTTGTTGTTGTTGTTATTTTTTTGATGACGTAAGGTGTAGGTTAGGAAGGGGGACTTGCATTAATATCGACTAACTGCCTGTTGTCGTTTGGAGAAATTGAAGATCTTTAAAAAATGTTGTGCTTTGGGGGTGGCGATCGCCACATCGCCACCCCCTCTGGATCCGGGCCTGTATGTTGGTAAATTAGTATAGTTCCTTAACAGAAGCGTCTGTCGGAAGTGTTTATCGTGCGTTAAAAAGTGATATAAAAAGTGCAAAAAAAAATTAAATTAACAGCGATGTCAAATATGTGATCCGTAGGAAGACTAACGTATTTTATTTTAAAAATAAATTTCCGGTATTAAAGAAAATTCATACCGCATTATATAGAGAATCTATTGTCCCGAAAGGTTTTACTGATTTTTTACTGTGTTTAATAATTTTTTAAACCCTCTAAAATGGTACGCCCATGGAATCGCATTCTTCGTGATTTTTAATGTATACCGTATATGTTAAAAATGAGTTTAAAAACTTCAAACTTTGGTATTTCTGAAACTATCAGTTGATGATTCAAACTGTAGATTTAAGTCCTCTTTATCAGTATTTATATTTGGTATGTGTTCTGGTTCAATGCGTTTCGGTACATAGTTTAAAGTTACCAGCCTGTGACGTTCCGGTGTTTGATTTTTTGTACATACACTGTAAAAAAAATTGGTGTGATCGAAAGCAAGGTTCGGAGTAAATCCATTGAATAAAATTTTTTAGTACATTTTCACTCAATATTAAGCATTTTCATCATTTTACTCATTTGTGATTACATTTAAACTAAAACTGAGTACTTTAACTCAAATATAGGTACTCCTTAAATAAATTCTTCACGTAAACTCGTATTTGGTGCACTTGTATCTAAATCAGAGTAAATTCATTCATTCATTCATTATTGAGTGAGTTTAAATGTATATTAATTTCGAGTAATTTGAATGGGTCGTGAAGATGGCACCATTTACATATTGCTTCTTTAATCTCGGCCACAGTTGATAGGGGCCCGTTAGATGCTCCAGAAAAGCGTGCTCGCCAGGCGAAAAGACCTTGGCCGGCGTCGGCGGGTCTCAGCTGGAGGGACTCAACTGGCGAGTCTCAGCCAGGACAGGAGGCGTTCTCCGCGAACTTAATAATTTCAGCACTGTATATCCTAATTAATCATTTATGAATGATTTATTTTTGCACTCAATATTTAGTTACTTAAAAACCAAGTCTGAGTAAAAAATGACCCAATAATAGTTAAATTTAAATCATGTTAGAGAAAAAGTCAACTCTAAATTGTTTTTATATACTCAGAATAGAGTCAAAAGTCTCTCAATTGATAGTACTGTTAGCAGTAACTCGGATTTGAGTAAAACTCACTATTTTGTGATGCAATAGTTTCACTCACTTGTACTCATACTAATAGAGTGAAAATTTCACTCAATCGGATGTGAACCGAAACTGATACATTATTGAGTAAAATTGAGTGAAATATTTTTTCTGTGTATCAGTCGTTTCTCTACATTTTAGATAATTCTAAACTCTCGTCTTCGTTAAAATTCCATTTCTTTTTCGATTTCCCCTGCTTCTGTTTTAAGTCCTGTCTAAAATCTCATCAATCTCATCAGAATTTTTATGTTATTTAGATCCATTTAATGCTCTTTGTTTTCGCAGTTGCTGATTTTTCTGCGTCGTCTGGACAACAATGACGCATTTTTCTAACCTTACACTTTTCTTGTCGTTTTGTCCCTAGATTTTAAGATATTAAAAAAAATCGTCCGTCCACTTTGTCAGTGGTAAAAAGTCTCTAGAACTAGGAACTTTTTCCCTGATCTGGCAACACGGAATAAGCTAGGGAAATGGAAGGCGAAGGTACGTACGTTTAGTATTATTACGTTTAGATGCCCTGAATGTGTTCTGTCTTTTTTTAATTGCAACAGATGAAAAGGCAAAGAAACATAATCTAGGGCATCTAGATGTCAAGACGGAGCGCTACTAGACAACATATTAATTGCTGCGTAGAGTTGCAAAAGTCGGCGACCTAAAATTCATGGCCAATCTAAAAGATCCACAATCTTTGCCGTTTTTTTTTTTGGTCAGCATTTATCCACAAACAGTATTTTAAAAGGCATAATTCTTTAAAGCCAAAAAATCGACAAATATCTGAAAGTCACAGACCTTATTAAGTTGTTAAACTTTTACGTAGGGCGCCATATTGGATATACTATAAGTACTTCTGACTTGTAGTGCCGATCGTGTAGCAAAGTTGTCTCGGATCTTGGTCGGGATTAACACAGGTGTTTTAAAAAAAAACAAAGATAAAATGTGGATTTGTTAAACTAAACGAGAGTTCAAGGACAACCATGAAGGAGGATGCATGTCCACATCGAGTCCATGCATCGAGTATACATACACATTAGGGTGGCCCAAAAAAAACGAATATTTTTTTTCATGTCTTGTGAAAATACGTTAGTTTATCATGTTTTAAGAACCCCCTCGAAAAATCAGCTCAAAAAAAAATTTTTTAGAGGTCGCTCAAGATTTTTAAAAATTTCCAAAATCGTCAAAAATTGAATTTAAAAAAATTTTTTTTTTCTCGTTATCATTTTCTAGGATGAACAAAATCTCGATTCTGAAAATTTCAAATCGATATTATAATTTCTAAAGGTCACTCATAATTAGTTTAACTTTCAAAGTAGTGTACCTACGTTTTTGAGCGACCTGTAAAAATAAATATCAACGAACTAATATTTTTTTTATTGAATTTGATAAACAAAAGAATAGAAATAAATCACGAGACACTTAAATTTTAAAAAATTGAAAAATGATAAATATTTGATACTCTGTGCGGTAGTAAATTTTGCCTCGAGAAATTTTGTAAGTTTCTCTATTCTTTTCATCAAATTCAATAAAAAAATTACCAACAAAATTTAACTTTTTTTTGGAAGCAGAATTTTGAATATATATTTCCGAAGGATTTAGGTGCGCTGAATCCGAATCTGGCAGCAGAATTGGTCTATCACGTCAGGTTTTTGAGATATCCTAACCTAAAAGTGCAAAAAACACTGTTTTTCGTCATATTTGAGGTTATGTAGTAATACCATCTATTCTTTTTCAAAAAACTAATACATTGAATCTAAAATAAGTACAAGGTTCCCTCCTTCGAATGCCGTTGAGTTTGCTCAAATAGGCTATCTCAAAAACCTGACGTGATAGAGCAATTCTGTGGCCAGATTCGGATTTAGCGCACCAAAATCCTTCGGGAATCCCTAATGTGTCTGCTTCTTGACCCTTGTTGACCTGTGTTATTAGTTCGTTGATATTTATTTTTAGAGGTCGCTCGAAAACATTTTAGGTACACTACTTGTAAAGTTAAAATAATTATGAGTGACCTTTAGAAATTAAAATATCGATTTGAAATTTTCAAAATCGAGATTTTTTTCAACCAAGAAAATGATAAAATAAGGAGAAAAAATAAAAAAAATCAATTTTTAACGATTTTGGAAATTTTTAAAAATTTTTAGCGACTAAAAAAATTGTTTGAGCTGATTTTTTGAGGGGGCTCTTAAAACATGATAAACTAACATATTTTCACAAGATACAAAAAATGAAATATTCCTTTTTCTTGGGCCACCCTAATACACATGCAGTAAATCGAGAATAATTACTAAATGTAAAAGGCATAAATCGAGTAAATTATGACAATATTTTCTGATTTGTTGTGATTTTAGAATGCGATGAAAATTCGAGTAAATGGAGTAATTGTGTAGCTTTAGAAAAGTGTGACAAATAATGAAGGAGAATATTTGTTATTACAAATATTCGCGTTATTATTACGCGCAATTTGAAATGAATATTTGCCAAAAGAAAGAATTATAATTGGAAATAAAATGTGTGTATCTAACTTAGGGGACGTAACACAGAAATTCCAAACGTACTGCAAGAAACATCCTTCAAGTGAAACTACTAGCAACATGGTAAATAAAGGTTGCGACTGGCTGACTAAACTCTTTACAATCAGGCCATATTTTAAAAAAGAAGAAGAAGAAGAAGTTAACTTAACCTCAATTTAGATTTAAATTGTTAAATTCAAAATTCAAGCCCAAGTTTATATCTAATTCTTGGATTTCTTGGAAGAATAGATATATCAAACATTTCAGTATAAATTTTGTGGATTTGGCATTAGTGCAAAGAATATTTCGCCCAAAATTTAGAACGTAACGACAAATTAAGAAAATGAGGTAATCAAGTAGCCAAAGTCTACCTATTCATTAAATTGATCATAGCCAAATCGAGATATCCGGCGATATTTACTTCATTGCCACGCCTTGACAATTTATGTATGAATCATTTTTTATTTAAACATAGAAGAGTTCGTTTGATATTAATATCGAGCTGCAGTTTATCTAGTCTATAAAACCAGCGCCGTTTATCAAACAATAAAATTGATAACCACTGATATTAGTTCTTCCTTGCTTGGATGATGTAGTAACATTAATTATTAATTTTGGGTTCCCCAGCAGCAGCACATGCCGGTGTCCCCACAACAGCAGCATGTCCCAGTCTCACCGCACATGCAACAGCACATGAGTCCTCCCCCGATAGTGTCTAGTTCTCCACCGGTTTCGGCACCACCCCCGACTGTTCCAACATCCGTGTCCCAGCAGAACGCCGGTCAAGGACAGATGAGGCCACCGAATGCTTGTATACGTCACGGATGCCCCAATCCAGCCATAACAAATCCCGAATGGGAGGACGAATACTGCAGTAATGAGTGCGTTGTTAGCCATTGCCGGTAGGTACTAATTAGTGTTGTTATCGTTGTCGGGTTTTAAGTCCTTTGTTGTTTTTTTTTAGGGATGTATTTACAAATTGGGTATCCGGAAACAAGAACCAATCACAGAACTTTTCAACCGTTAAATAAGTTCTAGGATAGAGAATGCCGCAAGAATGATAAAAGTAAGATAGCAATACCAACTGGATCAAGATAGTTTATTTCCGATAGATAAAACGGTATGTTTGGCAGTCACGATATGTAATAGTGAGAGGATATTTTAAGAGTTGTAAATAAAATGGAAAATCATTTAGTAAGTGAGGTTGTATTGAAGCAATAGACGCAATACGATTTCATTATATATAGGTATACAATACAAAAAAAAATATTGTAATCCTAGCATATATACGTTGTATATTAAAGAAATGAGGTGGGTCAAAAGCGTACGTGTAAACTGTAACTTTTTACCACTTTTGATGGGCTTTATTTCTCCGAGTATTCCTTGTTGACTTCGTTTTTATGTGTTACGATTAGAACGAAACATTACTTGCACGTCCGGAAGACTCCCAATTTGTGTTTTATGCGTACGTTCATTTAGCCGTACGGAAATAAAATCCAACAACCCGAAAAGTTGCTCTTAGACCTTCAAGATACTTTTTGGCCGGCCTTAAGCAAAATTTGTTAATTCATGCTATGTAAATGCATGTATCCTTGATAAAAAAATTGTAGTTAGATATGTCCAAAGTACATAAGAATATTAAAAATGAAACTATTTTAGTTTATAGTTAAGTCTTTGTTGTTACGGAGAAAATTCCAGAACTGTGAAATTTTTGGTGAATGATTAACAACTGATAATCAACATGTTTTGTGTACTGATTTCTTTTCGACGAATCTCTGCCACAACGCGATAGCCGTCGGATTTAACGGCCGGTGAAGAACAACACAAATACCAAAAACAAATAGGTGGCCTTGAAGTCACTTTGTTAACAGCAGACAATCGGTGAAACTCAGGAGTGAAGAAACTAGATGGCGACTCTCACAACAAATGCTGTTGTTGCTCTACAAACAAGGGCGACTGTGATTTTATTGCAGAGTCGCCATCTAGCATCCTCATTCCTTAGTTTGACTGGTGGTTTAAGTTTATTACATGCAACAACAGATTTTAAATTGTTAAATGTTTTTTGAAGAGGGCTCCATAGCAAATAGCCAACCAGAAATACATTTTTTTAGATTTTATTACATAGTTTGTCTAAATATGAATTAATGCACAAATAACAGACTTTCCTCCATTCTAACGCAGATTTTCTACAAAATGGAGTTAGTTTGAAATTCAAATTGCCTATTGTTGTAAAGAAATTTTTAATTTGTGTCGTAAATTACAAATATCTTTACACTAAACAGTAATTTGAGCTTCAAACTAAGTCCGTTTTATAGAAAATCTGCGTTAGAATGGAGGAAAGTCTGTTATTTGTGAATTAATTCATATTTAGACAGACTGTGTAATAAAATCTAAAAAAATGTATTCCTGATTGCCTATTTGCTGTAAAGCCCTCTTCAAAAAGCATTAAACAATTTGACACCTGTTGTTTGCATGTAATATACTTAAACCACCAGTCAAACTTAGGAATGAAGAAACTAGATGGCGACACTCAAAATAAATGCTGTTGTTGCACTACAAACAAGGGTGACTGCGATTTTATTGCAGAGTCGCCATCTAGTTTCTTCATTCCTAAGTTTGACTGGTGGTTTTAAGTATATTACATGCAAACAACAGGTTTTAAATTGTTAAATGCTTTTAAAGAGGGCTCTATAGCAAATAGCCAATCAGGAATACATTTTTTTAGATTTCATTACACAGTTTGTCTAAATATGAAGGAATGCACAAATAACGGACTTTCCTCCATTCTAACGCAGATTTTCTACAAAATGAAGTTAGTTTGAAACTCAAATTTCTTTTTGTTGTAAAGAAATTTGTAATTTGTATCGTAAATTACAAATATCTTTACACTAAACAGTAATTTGAGTTTCAAACTAAGTCCAATAAAATCTAAAAAAATCTATTCCTGATTGCCTATTTGCTATAGAGCCCTCTTTAAAAAGCAGTTAACAATTTAAAACCTGTTTGCATGTAATATACTTAAATCACCAGTCAAACTTAGGAGTGAAGAAACTAGATGGCGACTCTCAAAACAAATGCTGTTGTTGCACTACAAACAAGGGCGACTGTGATTTTGTTGCAGAGTCGCTATCTAGCATCCTCATTCCTAAGTTTGACTAGTGATCTAAGTATATTACATACAAACAACAGGTTTTAAATTGTCAAATGCTTTTAAAGAGGGCTCTTTAGCAAATAGCCAACCAGGAATACATTTTTTTAGATTTTATTACACAGTTTGTCTAAATATGAACAAATGCACAAATAACAGACTTTCCTCCATTCTAACGCAGATTTTCTATAAAATGGTGTCGATTTGAAACTCTAATTACTTTTTATTGTAAAGAAATTTGTAATTTGTATTGTAAATTACAAATATCTTTACACTAAAAAGTAATTTGCATTTCAGACTAACTCCATTTTATAGAAAATCTGCATTAGAATGGGGGAAAGTCTGTTATTTGTGCATTAATTCATATTTAGACAAACTGTGTAATAAAATCTATAAAAATGTATTGCTGGTACATATTTTTGGGTACGATTTAAGCAGGTGGAATTTTTTGTTCTCGTGTTTCTTGGCCGGTCGTTCCTCGACGTTCTGTTGTGTAAAGATTCCAAAATCTAGTGAGTAGTGTACAATTATTTTTATATCATTGACCAATCAAAGTTACGCTTTTCTGTCGATGTATATAATTAGCAGTTGTTACTTTATTGTTATCGATGTGAGCAATTGGTTTTGCGTGAACATCCCTAGTATTAAATACGTGGTGAAGGATGTATATTTGTGAATATGTTGAACGAGTTGTTAAGATTCGAACTGTTTGAAGCAGTGCAATTGTTAAGGACGTTTAGTTTTCTCATCTTTGTATTTTTAATTTTAAGGGAACTGTTTGAAACAGTTTGAACTGTAAGAATTGTATAAATTAAATTTTAGATGAATACATATGATAAATACTTACGTGAAGAAAATTGTTTATTTTTATTTTATTGTTTTAATGTGTTTTTCTATTTTATTATTTTTTTATTTAATAGTTTGGAACCAAGCAATGTAACCAAACAATCAACTTTTCTCAAAGTATTAAAATATCAAAAGTATATATATTTGATCATTATCTCTTCATGAGCTTTAAAAATTATTAAGTACAATTTATGTTCCACTATTACATTGTAAATATCATATTTTATCCTGACAAGCACACAACCTATACTATGTAATCAATTAATATTTAAAAATAAATAGATTCTACTTGAGCCGTGCACTTTATTTGCACAATACCCAAAAATCTCCATCTTTACACTCCCAGAGTAAGTTTTCGCTGCATACCTCCTCGACATTCTGCTGTCCTGCTACAAAATGTGGATGCTGCTATAAAAGCAATCAGGAGTAAAAAAAATCATTCATATACCTCCTCCAGTTTCTGTTATTCTAATAAAAATGGGAAAATTACCATGAAAGTAAGCATCGCGAGTAAAATTTGGTCTACATTCTTTGTTTCCTTGATTTTTTGTGGCACTAAGCTGAAAAATTAGAGTTCTTAGAGAAACACAAAACGAGTAAAATTTTGTTTCTATACCTCCTCGACATTCTGTTATCCTGATACAAAAGATGAAAATTTATGATTACAAAAGCCAGAAACAAAATTTTGTTCACATATCCTCGACTTTCTGGTATCCTGATACAAAATACGTAAATTCAGGAGTAGCTAAAAGCAAACATCTGAAGTAAAATTTTGTTCCCATACCTTCTCGACATTCTGTTATCTTGATACAAAAAATTAAAATTTAAAGTACGAAAGCCAGAAAAAAATTTTTGTCAACATATCCTAGGCTTTCTAGTATCTTGATACAAAATATGTAAATTCAGAAATTAAAAGCAAACACCAGGATACCTCGTCGACATTCTGTTACCCTGATAAAAAATATGAAAATGTAAGTTCTACAAAAGCCAGAAGTAAAATTTTGTCCACACATATCCTTGACTTCCTGGTATCCTGATTCAAAATGTGTAAATTCAGAAGTATCTAAAAGCAAACATCAGGAATAAAATTTTGTTCCCATACCTCCTCAACATTTTGTTATCCTGATAGGAAAAATGAAAATTTAAATTCTACAAAAGTCAGAATAAAATTTTGTTCCGCATATCTCCTCGACTTCCTGGTATCCTGATACAAAAATTGAAAATTTAAGATCTGCAAGCCATAAGAAAAATTTTGTCCAAATATCTTCTCGGTTTTATGGTATCCTGATACAAAATGTGTAAATTCAGAAGTAAAATCTATCAGGAGTAAAATATTGTCCACATACCTCCTTGCCTTTCCGTGAACCTCCTACAAGTATCAGGAGCAAAAATTTTGTCAGCACTAGAATGAATCCAAAAGTCAGGAGTAAAATTTCAGACACACCCACGATTTTCGAATCTAACTACCAGGAGTAAAATTTTGACTATATACCTCCTGAATTTTCTGTGATCCTGATACAAAATGTGAAAATTGCTACTATCGAAATAATAACTAAATGCCAACTAACAGGAGTAAAATTTTGTCTATATACCTCCTTAACTTTCTGGAACCCTGATACGAAACTTGAGGTTCAGCTAACAAAATTATTTAAAATCGTTGCTACTGAAATTTATCAATGCATCAGCAACAAATTTTGGTCTACTACCGCAACTTTATGATGAAATTTGTTAAAAGTATCAGGAGAACAATTTTCGATGGCATGTCTCACAACTTTCTGCGACCCTGATTCAAAACGACAGTCACAAAAGCTTAAAGTTATTACACACTAGATTGAATGTATGTATTAGAAAGAACACAATATTTCAAAAAAAGAATTATATTTACATTTTTTGTTATAATTTTACAGTTGCTTTTTTTTTAACAATAAAAAAATAACACTTCATAATAAAATTTCATATTTTAAAATTAAATTGTTTCTGCACCACCGAGCGACAGCGGATTGGGACTGGGAGTAGAACTCGTAGAGCTCAAGGTTTCTTCCCTTATTTTCAGCTTGTTGGGGTCCTTTTCCTTCTTATCTTTGTTATGCTTGTGTTCATGTTTGTGTTTGTGTTTATGCTTGTGTTTCTTCTTGTCCTTCTTTTTCTTCTTAATCTGAAAAAATAAAACAATCTAATAGCTGTATTCGTGCGTTGGTGGTTATTATTATTACCTTCCCCGACGGGTCAACCTTGTGTTTGCCGTCTCCTTCTTTCTTAAACATGCCCGGTTCAAATCCTATCGGACCACTCTGTCCCAGGCCTGGCAGGGAAACGGAATTATCAGAGAAATAATCCTGCTTCTGTATCTTTGGAGATTCCACTTTTATGTCCATAATTTCTTCCTCCTAAGTAAAAATATTTTAATAAAAGTGCAACAGATGTAACAGTACATTTTAAATCGAAAAATGGAAGAAGCAAATTAGAATCCTTTTTTGGTTTCAGTAAAAACATTAATTTTAAATTTTCAAAAAAGTTTCGGTTTCTTAAACCCATCATTAGAAAAAATTAAGGTTAAATATCTATTTAAAAATGATATGATAAACATAGTTCATCTCAACTATTTCATTTCCATTTTTCTCTGATGTGAGCTTTATAAGCCCAGTATATGTCTGGTGGATTTGGATCGACCAATAATCCTAGCTGCTTACTGGGTATTGCTAGGACAGGGAATGTGGCCCAAGTGGTTGTTTCCATTAAAAGCCCAAACTAGTTGAAAATTAGATCACTCGTCAGCAAAATCACCACACATAGATGAGTTTCGAACTGATTAAGAGAGCTTTACATCTTAAGAAATGTGCAAAGGATGGGCTCGATCGGTCAAATAGTTTTTGCAAAATTCCATTTATTTATCCCATTTTTGTAAAAAAGGCACATTTTCAAATTACTATTCCGGGAGCAGGGTTATGACTAGAACATTCTTTTTGGGCTCATTTTCTTCGAAGGGACACCAAGTATCTTCTAGTTAAAAAAAATTAATTTTTTTCCAAATTTAGTTGTATATAATTGTTACCAAATAAAAGGCACTTTTTTCCCTAATAAACAAATAAAATAACTCTGTGGTTTTTAACTTTTGAAAGAAGTTATATACACCATTCGAAAGCTCGTAAAAAAACCTACACATTGAAAAAAAAAGTTTCTACGACCAATAGGTCCGGAGTTAGCAATTTTTGTTTTTAAATCACAGAGCAATTTATTATAAACATTAAGACCTGAAATTTTAACATTTTGTAAATGAAGGTTTAAACTTTATACCCTGTTAAGTTTAATTAAATTTGCCCATAATTGATCAATCCAGAGCCCGTCAAAGTAAGGGTACGCGGCAGAAACTCTTCAGGGAGTGGTGGTGGGGGTATCTTCCTCTCAACCAGGAAAAAACTGATAATGGATCTTCAAAATGGTGCGAGCTTGAAAAATTTGTAATATCTTAGCTTCTATGTAACGTAGAACCTTCTTTTTTGTTAATTTGGAGTAGCTCGACGAAAAAATTACTTCTGAATTGTTTCTACCCTTGTAAAACCACCTCCTACCCCCCTAAAAGTGAATTTTCTGAATTTTTTTTATTTGAAATGTTTTAGACAATAGTTCTCAATAAAAAAATATATATTTTAATTTTTCATACTTTTTATATAACGATAGATTTTGTATATTGATTAAAGGATTAATTATTTTGTAAAATTATTATTAATAACAGTAACAGTAGAATTTTTTTTACAATTCATTATAAATTTCAACTTTAATTTGAGGGTTGAGGGGTTAAAGAAAGAAATAATTCAGAAGTAATTTTTTCGTCGAGTTACCCCAAATTAAAAAAAAAGTAGGTTCTATTATAGAAGCTGAGATATTACAAATATTACAAAGATCCATTGTCAGTTTTTTTCCTGGTTGAGAGGAAGATCCCCCTACCTCCACTCCCTGAAGGGCTTCTGCTGCATACCCTTACTTTGACGGGCTCTGGATTGATCAATAATGGGCAAATTCAATTAAAATTAATAGGGCATAAAGTTTAAACCTTCATTGACAAAATGTTAAAATTTTAGGTCGTTTCAGGCCGTTTATAACAAATTGCTCTGTGATTTAAAATCAAAAATTGCTAACTCCGGACCTATTGGTCGTAGAAACTTGCTTTTTTTCAATATGTAGTTTTTTTTACGAGCTTTCGAATGGTGAATATAACTTCTTTCAAAAGTTAAAAACCGCGGAGTTATTTTATTTGTTTATTAGGGAAAAAAGTGCCTTTTATTTGGTAACAATTATATACAACTAAATTTGGAAAAAAATTATTATTTTTTTAACTAGAGGATACTTGGTGTCCCTTCGAAGAAAATGAGCCCAAAAAAAATGTTTTAGTCATATCCCTGCTCCCGGAATAGTAATTTGAAAATGGGCCGTTTTTGCAAAAATGGGATAAATAAATGGAATTTTGCAAAAACTATTTGACCATTCGAGCCCATCTTTTGCACATCTCTTAAGGATATAAAAACTCACATTTTGGGAAAGTTTGGTAAGATTTTATTAATGATTTAAAAAGTTATTAACAATTAAAGAAAAAGCACTTGTTCCGTTTAATTTTGCAATAACTTTTTTGTTTAAAAAGCAATTTTAACTTATAAAGTCTCATTTTAAAGACGAGTTTCTCTAGATCAAATCGTCTGTTGAACATTTTTTGCTAAGATTAATAGTTTTTTTACAATAACGCGTAGAACGAAAAATGACGAAATTTGTGACCTATTTGTTGATAGAAAACAATGACGCTATACTTTTTTCATGACCCACGAGATGAGACGCCTCTTGTATTATCATTCCCAAGATTTTCCAACAATAAAATCACGCCAGTAATTTTCACGATTTCTCGATGAAAAATCACCTTTATTTCTTGATTTACCTTAAAAAGGCAGCAAAACTTCTATAAAACATGTCAAAACACACCAAAACAGATTCAGAAAGCATTAAAATGAAACAAAACATGGCTAAAATATGATGCGTTCTAAAATTATCTTTGTCTATTCCAAGTCTCTTTTTGTTTTTTTTTTCTTTTCCTGAAAATTGCCTTGAAATCAGGCACCCTCTGTACGTTCGTGAAATTTTATTTCGAGATAACCTACACACGAAAGTCGTCTCAGAGATGGACATTATAGTCCGCAGAGTAGTTGTTTCTCACAGAATTATTAGTTAAAGGCCGAAACCAGTCAGAAAATAAAAAAGTATATGTTAAAAAAAAAACAATTCCACAAAGTCTTACCTTTGGCTTCACCTCGCTGGCGACAACCTCCACGTTCATGCACTCCACGGCTTCCAAGAGGATCTGCTGGGACGCCTCCCTATTTGGAGTCGGTGACCTGGTCGTCTTCATAAGATCCTCGTTTGCGATGGCAGTCGAATATTTCGGGATGGGTTTAATTTTTTTCATGGGTTCGTGCTTCGACAGATTCATTATCCCCGACAATTCCAGCAGCGGAATACAGACGGGACGTTTCGTACCGTACAGGGTGTAGTAAACGTCGACCAGGTCGCAACGCAGCCTCGTATCGTGAGAAAGCATGCAGCTGAAAGTACGAAAAACGTTTTAAATTGTGGCTGAGGAGAATTCTTTTAAACTCACTTTATGTTTGTCCATATTCTCTCCACAAGATCGGGAATGTCGAGTCGACCTCTGTGGGCTCTTTTAAAGGGTGGATTCTTAATCAACAATGCGGCCAACCTGTGGCGGAGGCCTGGATCGGGATCGTTTTCGAGGATGTCTAAGACATGCTGCAGGTCTTCCCATCTGCCGTCGGCTCGGACAAAATCTACCAGGCACTCCAGTGCGGCTATCCTTACGTCTAAAGAAAAATGAGTCGATTTGGATCAAGATCGACACGAAATTCAGCCACGATGGTTTCATTCTAATTTAGCCTATAATTTTTTGCTTTTGTTTATACTTATAGGTTTTAAAAAAGCTTCATTTGAGACCTGCTAAATTAAAATCCATTAACAATTTGTTTAAATAATTGCAAAAAAACAGCAAAATTTGAATTTGCTATAAATAGAAGAAAAGAGCATAAATCGTTGCTATACTGCAGTAAAAGTTGTATTTTGTTACGCTTAAGAAACCCTGAAAATTTGATAAAAAAATATTTATTTGTTTACGAGTTTTTGCATTTGTTTATTTAAAATATTTTTTCAGTTGCAAAAACGCGGTTGTTGGCGTTATAATAAAGGGCCTTATGAGGGCTCATTTGTTTCGTCTTGACTTATATTTTTAAGATATGCAATTGAAAATTGTAATTTCCAAGGCTAACTTCCTCAAACAAATAGTGTAATTTGTTTATAAGGTTTTTCCTGGTATTTTTTCAGGAATTTAAAAAAAAATGTTTAGGACCATTTTTAGCCGAGATAGCGTTTTTTTAAAAAAAATCTTGTTTATCTATAAACATTAAGATTTGATATTTCAGGAATAAATAAATCAACCCTTAAACTTCATAATGACGGTTAAAAATATTGAAAAAAATGCATTTTATAGTAATTTTTAACCCTTTAAAAAACGTCCTCTAATACGTTTTTACACCTGAAATATGGTGGGGGAAATAAGACAGAAACGTTCCAAGACTTTAAATCTTAACTGCACGAAAAATTTGAGATATCTCCGGTAATTATGGACCAATTTTAACGTTTTTATTTTAATCTGGTGTAGCGCATGAAAATAATAACAACTGCATGGTACATCATTTTCTTAAAAAACAATATTTTTATGTAAAAAAATCAGGAAATGTCATATTTTTTATATATAAAGTTTATTTTAATGAGAATCGAGTGTTTTAATTTACTTACTTAATTTAATGTCAAAAAATAATACTATTATGCATATTACATCAAAAAACTCGATTCTCATTAAAATAAACTTGTATATAATTTCCTGAATTTTTTTCACATAAAAATATTGTTTTTTCAGAAAATTGTTTATTGGTACCACAGAAAAATTATTTCTCGAAAAAATGCGAGAAAAAATTTTTTCTACAAAATTAACAATTTATAACAAATTAATAATTAATAATTGTAAAATGGACGGTGCAGTTTTTATTATTTTCATGCGCTACCCCAGATTAAAAAAAAACATTAAAATTGGATTGGAACCGGAGATATCGCAAAATTTTCGGGCAGTTAAGATTTGAAGTCTTGAAACGTTTCTGTCTTATTTCCCCCACCACATTCCAGATATAAAAATGTATTCGAGGACGTTTTTTAAAAGGTTAAAAATTACTATAAAATGCATTTTCTTCGATATCTTTAGCCGTTATTATGAAGTTTAAGGGATGATTGATTTATTCCCGAAATTTCAAGTCTTAATGTTTATAAATAAACAAGTTATGAATTTAAAAACGCTATCTCGGCTAAAAATGGTTCTAGAACAATTTTTTTTTAAATTCGTGAAAAATTACCAGTAGGTATTACGAATGTCAAAGCGGCTTTAAAAAATATTAATTCTTCGCAATGTTATTAATGAAAAACGTTATAAACAAATTACACTATTTATTTATACGCCGTTTTGAGGAGGTTAGCCTATGAAATTACAGTTTCCAATTGCATATCTTGAAAATATAAATCAAGACGAAACAAATGAGCCATCATAAGGTCCTTTATTATAACGCTAACAACCGCGTTTTTGCAACTGAAAAAATGCTATTTCTAATAAACAAATGCAAAAACTCGTAAACAAATAAATATTTTTTTACCAAATTTTCAGCGTTTCTAAAGCGTAACAAAATACAACTTTTACTGTAGTTTAGAGCCGATTTATGTTCTTTTTTTCTATTTACAGTAAATTCAAATTTTGCTGTTTTTTTGCAATTATTTAAACAAATTGTTAATGGATTTTAATTTAGCAGGTCTCAAAGGAAGCATTTTTTGAAAACCTATAAGTATAAACAAAAGCAAAAACTTCTGTTGGAGAGCGCTTTCTAATACAGCTAAAAAACTCCATTCTTGGTAATTTTTACATTATAATCATTGTTTAAACAATGATCTTGTTGTTTTAAACCGATACATTTTGGGAAATATTATTTCTTTTTGGCCAGACTAATGATTAAACCAAGTTTCAATCTGAAACGAATTACATTTTGATTTACATGTATTACAAATTTCATTTACTGGGCTAAATATAAATATCCCTGCAATGGAGAAGGCATGCGGGGAATGCGAATCTACGGGCGTATCATTTTAAAGGGTTCTAAAAATTGTTGATTGTAAAACAGAGGAGTTTTCTGGGTTGTTATACCATGACCTATGCACCTGAGCGCTGTCAGTTACAGATCTGAACAACCTTAGCCTTTGCTAGAAATCTTTAACCTGCCCTTGTTCTTGGGCTAGGCTCTATGGACACACACGTGCTACTAGTCGTTTACAACTAGCCATACATCAGGTGGTCACTAACACCTGCATACGATTCCATTTTCAACAACACTTACCGGAATAATTAAAATGTGAAAATAATAACAAGCTTTTCCACTTGTACGCTTATGACAAGCACAGACATGTCTCAGCTCGAAACTGAGACAGAGTGGGATGTTAAAAGATCAAACTATGTAGCCTTGATTGTCTCTTTCTGTACGCGATACGCAAAGATGGATACAATGAAATGTTTCAAACGCACGGGCGCAGGCTGGGCATAAGGAAAGTTCAGTATTAACAAATGGATCCTATAAATATGTTTTGTCCTTCTTTTAAGTGCAACAGGTGAAAAGATAAAGAGAGAGCATATAGATGTTAATATCAAATGCTATTATTATTGGAACACAATGCGAAATGAATAGCACATTACAATTTCCAAGCAGAGAATTCACTTCACAATTTTTTTAGTAGACTAAAAAAAGTGGTCAAAATTGTGATTTGATTTGTTTAACACTCAGTTGACTATTATTTTCATTTGGAGAATAAACCATTTCTGCTTTAAAACGACTTGAAAACGCAACCCTTCAAATGCAGAAATAATTTAATCATGTTGTCGTGGCTGAATATCGTATCGGTTTTTGTTCAAAGTGATGCAGATGTTAAAAATAAGAGATATTATTTAACGAATGTTAGACGTACCTATAAAATGTCCATACGCCGCGTAACTTTTAAACAAAGTTGGCCTGCTGGGCAAGTGTCCGAACTTCTGCAACTTCCTTATAGCGTGCAAGCAAGCCACTGAAACCGTATACTTGTAACAAGGCAGTGCTTTCTCCAAATTGAGCAGCCTCGTGACCTCTTCGAGTATCAGCTTGGTATCGGCGCTTAAATTCTCCGCCGTAATAGGCGTCCCCTGCGAGACGACGGACACGACGGGAGTCACCGTGTTCCCCAGAGCCTCCACCAGCGCCGCGCGGTAATAATTATCCGAATGCCTGTTTTTGGAATTGTCGTTGTACTTGAACAAGTCCAGGAGAAACCTGATGACTTCGGGGGGACAGATGCCGTGGTTGTTCCTCAGCCCGGCCATGGCCAGCGGGATGGTTTTTTGGAGGTAGTAATGTTGGAAGTTTTGGAAGTTGTTCTGGCGAATGATGTGGGGGGCCGCGAAGGAGCCGAAGAGTTTACGGAAGATGGCGAGCATGGCCGGGGGACCGGCCCAGTTCGCTACCATCGCATTCGCAACCTAAAATATTATACAGGGTGTGGAGTGTGTATTCTATAAAAATTAAACTACAGCTTGCTGATGATATTTGTAATAGAAAAGTCGTATACGAAAAAGTGCTATCTACACGTTTTTTTTTTGTGAATTAAAGTTCATTTATTCAACGAAAATGAAGGCCGACCCTGTGTTATTTATTAAAAACTTTGGAAATGTTTTTATGCGACCCGAGATGTAACCTTATAATTTAAGTCGGTATAATCTAATACTAGAAATACTAAAAAAAGGTTAGGTAAGGTTAGGTTAAGTAAGGTTAGGTTAGGTTAGGTTCATTATTCACTTAATTATTAAATATTAAGCATCGTTCATCGACCCATCAGTGTTAAAAAGTGAAAGATTCCAGACAAAAGTTTTTATTTTGTAATTCCACAACAGTGACAGTGTAATTTTTATAAGGAGGTAAAAAATAAGAACAGCATGCCGATTACACTAAAAACGAGATCCTTATTTCCTACTTTGCCTAATTTTTTAGTTTGTGCACAAACTAGTTTTACAATGAACCGAGAAAACAATGCATTTACTCTGCATTGAAAAATTCCTCAAAAATTGGGAAGTATCTTTCTATCTTTCAACGACGATTTGTTTACGCGGCTGGTCTACAGCACGTAACTCATCGTACAACACAGGGACAGGACCTTTCCAGAGAAAATATTGTGATCCATAATTGTACTTTACGATAAAAAAACGCAAAAATAGATCTTTTTCGTATAAAACTTCTATTACAAATATCGTTAGGAAGCTGCAGTTTAATTTTTATATACACGTCACTCCCAGTATTAATATGATCCACTGAGTGATCAAAAAAATTACAGAGATGAACACGAAAAACCTCTAAACGTCAGGTTTTCAACTTATTTCCGTAGATTATGCCAAAATAATCAATTTTTACAATGAAAAAATAAACAAATAGAAACAAATAATAAAACAAATAAATTTTAACACTATCGTAAAACACCTTTCAAAAAAATCTAGCAAACTACAATAAAAAAAAAACTTGTCGACTTCTTAATGAAAAAATAAACAAATAGAAACAAATAATAAAACAAATAAATTTTAACACTATCGTAAAACAGCTTTCAAAAAAATCTAGCAAACTTAAATCACCGAAAAACTTGTTGAGTTCAATGAAAAAATAAACGATAAACAAAAAAAAACCATAAATATTAATACTAAATTCAAAATAGTAACAAATCTTACCTTAGTCAAGCAGTGGGCCGCCCTGCACCTAACCTTGTAGTAACACTGTTCGTTTTCGATAGTATCGGTAAGAGCGAGACGGGTAGGCGGCGTGGGATACCTTTCCAAGGCGAGGATAGCCTCCATCTGCGCCGTAACGTCCCTTTCGTGCCTCAGCTGATACTGCCACTGGTAATCGGGCTGTTCAATCACCACGGACCTCAACAGGGTCATTTCCGGGTCCAGACGAATCCAAAGAACGGGAGAATCGCTACAATAAACACGTCACATTAAAAAATAACGAGTATCCTTCAAATTGAAACTTACTCCATGGCACTCAAGTCCATATCGACCTCCTCTCCCGTACACAAAGGGATCTTCTTCTTCTTGTTCCTCCTACTCTTCGAGTGGCAGGTTATATCAGCCTTCACAACGGTATTCTCGATCTGCAAGTTATGCTTGAAAGTACCGTCTAACTCTTGTAGGGTTACTAAGAGGGGACCGACGTATTTCCTGATGCCTAAAGACGTCGTCGCATCTTGTCTTATTTCCAATTCTATCGTATTTCTGCAAAGTAAAAAATTTGAAGTGGACGTTCCGTCTACCTTTCTCGTTTACCTTTTCCTGTTAAACACCGAAGTTAAATGAAACTTGGCGTGACCCCCCGTCCTCACCCACTGATCTATGAACACGATCATATCCTTGCCGGTCACCGTGAAAATGGCTTTGGTAAACACGTTCGTGCTTATCAACATGTGCCCCCATAACCCGCTGCCGATTTTCTGCTGCGCGGCGTTGGTGGCCAACGATAACTGTTTATTGAACACCTGTAGCAGCAGTTCTAAGCCGATTCTGTGCTCTAACATTCTCATCACAAGTAACGCTTTCTTGTGAAGGGCTTCGATGTACATCGGAGAGAGCGTGTGCAAGTTTCTTATGGAGAAGTAAAATTTCTCCTCGGTGGTTTTTTGGGTGGTCTGAGGTGTGCTGCCCCCTACTGGAAGCGGGGCCGGCGGTTGACTCGAATCTACAAGAAATATTTTACGATAATGAGGAAAGGTTACTTTTTTATTATTCATCAGTCATCACTGTGTTCTGATGGAACTTTACGGTGAAATATAAAAATTAGTAGTAACAGGGTGCACTGAAATACATTTAGGATCATTTTTATTGAACTTAATTGAACTGAAAAAAATATAATAGTCCGAAAACTGACAAACAGCTTCCAAAAAATAAAGAAAGTATCTACTTTGTTTATATGAATGTGAGTATTTAATAAATTTAATTTAAGTAAGTCTACACGGTTCAAAAATCGTTTTTTTTTATTGGATAAATTGTTATTATAACTATTCAATATTAAGCTGCCAAAATTTCAAAATTAAATTACTATTCGTTCCAATTTTCTGAACCTAAAACAGAACACCCATCGGGTCAGCGCTTGAGCGCACAGCAGGTAGGGCGGAGCGCTTGTTCAGGTAGTCTAGTTACTTATTAAGCAAGAAAATAACAGGTGCAAGCTCAGAATGATGCCTATGAGGAAGAAGAAAGACTGTTACATGGTGCTAGAATCGCTGATTGATCGGAAAGCACTATAAATATTATTGATAACTTTCTCAAATTTCTAGTTTTCGGAAATCTTCAATCGCATTTTTGAAAAGTTATGAACCGATCGTTATGATTGAAAGTGTGTTTCTTTATGAAATTACAAAGAACATGAATCAACAATTCGGATGATATAAAAATTTTATGGGTGTTATTTTTTTAAAATAAGTGAAGAAAATGGTAAAAATTTTCAAAACTTGACCTTCGGTGGACAATAGCCTATAACTTCGGCATTTTCAACACAAGTGACTTGAACAAATTTGTAATTGTAGTTCAAAATATTGATAAAATAATGTCAAAGTTTCATCAAAATTTAATCAATATGTCTCATTCAAAAAAATTCATGAGAAATGCCTGAAAATCGGCCTCCTAATGTGGTTTCCCGTAAAAATAAAACTTTTTATCAAAAATAAGTTATTGTAGAGCACCAATTACTAATTTACTTATGTTAATGAAAAATAACAAATAAAATTATTGCGTAACAAATTAATTTTCAAACCTAATGTAAACAGTGTTGAAAACAGAGTAGAAGACAGTAAACTATAACAAAGTTGCATCTAATATCATAAAACAAAAAAGAGATGGAAAAAAGTTATTATTTTTTAAAAATATTTATCTGTTTATCAGGTTTGATAAGTATTTAGTGTCTTATTAATCGACAATGAAATTTTAATATTCATGTTTTTTTTCCATCCAAAATTATTTTTTTTATTTTACAAGCAATAGAGTTTATTCCTTGTTTGCGACAACTTAATCAGCAGATCAGTTCAATAATGGTTATTACAAAAATTATTTTCAAAACAAATGTAACATACATTATGTGATGAGAGTGGCATTATATAATTCCATTGAAGTACTTTAATACTTTAATAGAAGACAGACAGCAATAACAGAATCATTATCTTCATTTTATTATTTGATAAAATTTTTTGATTTTATTTTTCTTAACAAGAAATACATATTAGGGTGGCCCAAAAAAACGAATATTTTTCTTTGTGTCTCTTGTGAAAATATGTTAGTTTATCATGTTTTAAGAGCTTCAAAAAATCAGGCCAAAAAAATTGAGGTCGCTCAAGATTTTTAAAAATTTCCAAAATCGTCAAAAATATAATTTTTTTTTTAAATTATTTTCTCATTATTTTATCATTTTCTATGTTGAAACAATTCTCGATACTGAAAATTTCAAATCGATATTTTAATTTCTAAAGGTCACTCATATTTATTTTAACTTTCAAAGTAGTGTATCTAAAATGTTTTCGAGCGACCTCTAAAAATAAATATCACGAACTAATAATTTTTTTTATTGAATTTGATGAACAAAAGAATAGAAATAAATCACGAGTCACTTAAAAAATTTCTCGAGGCAAAATTTACTACCCCACTGTGAGTATCAAATATTTATAATTTTTTAATTATTTAAAATTTAAGTGTCTCATGATTCATTTCTATTCTTTTGTTCATCAAATTCAACAAAAAATAATAATTCAACAAAATTATTTGTTCATTGATATTTATTTTTAGATCGTTTGAAAACATTTTAGGTACACTACTTTGAAAGTTAAAATAATTGTGACCTTTAGAAATTACAATATCGATCTGAAATTTTGAGAATCGAGATTTTTTTCAACCTAGAAAATGATACTTAATATAACGACAAAAAAAAATAAAAAAAAATCTATTTTTGATGATTTTGGAAATTTTAAAAAATCTTGAGTGACCTCTAAAAAAAATTTTTTTGAGCTGATTTTTTGAGGGGGCTTTTAAAACATGATAAACTAACATATTTTTACAAGAAACACGAAAAAAATATTTGTTTTTTTTGAGCAACCCTAGTACATACATGTATTTATAAATTTTTTTAAGGGCTTCTTTTCCTGAAATCGTTAGATTTGAGCAAATATTAACATGAAAACAAACATCACTATCTTGTTACATTTACTTCCATTTGTTAAACTGTGAAATATAAGAAATAAATCTCATAATATCTGGGCCACGGCAACAAGTATGGGAAACACTGCTTTTAACAGATTTGCTTTTTAAATAGTATAATTTTACACTTTGTGATTATGTTTGAATTTAATTTTTCAATTATTTAAGGTTTTCTTTACTATAAAGTTAAAATCCGGGTTAATTTCACTGCATAATGTAATTTCAATTCTCTATTAAAACGAGTTACTATTTTTCAAGCTAGAATTTGTTCCAGTGCAACTGAGATAGATTGAACTTTAAGTATGACTAAAAGATTAAGATATTATTATAAAATAATTTTCTTGACACATGATTTGGCAAACTTACAATCGCTGCTGCACATAAATGTGGATGAACAAATTTAAAAGAGATATATTTCCTTAATAACAACTTCATTATTCCACTTGATATTATGAAATACAATGGGAAACTGCCAAATTTCTAGTTATCGGGCAAGTATGACGATAAAAATGTTATATTTGTGTAAGACACTCACCCAATACAATCCCTCCGAACTCCTCCTCGTACTTGACCACATCCAACAGTGTACTTTGAACCCACTGCCTGTACTCGTTATTGCCGAACGACTTCTTACAGTACAGACCGCAAAGGTACTGACTGATACCTTTGTTCAGCCACATGTCAGACCAGTTCTGCATCGAAATGAAACAACCGAAAAACTGCTCCGCAATCGCCTGCGCCATCGCCCTCCTTGTATTATACACTTGATCGATTATAACGGCGGAATGTAGCAAATTTACACTCATTATACTCATAGTGGCATACGACCTATAATCTTCGTGAGTTTCATCGACGAAAACCTGCTTGTAGCAAGAATACGGGTACCGATTAGATAACGTTTCCTCGTAGAACTCAAACGCCTCGTGCATATACCTGGTGGTCACTTTCAACAATGGCAGCAAACTCGGCAGACAGAAATGAGTGACCTCGTGCATGTACGGGTCGACGAAAATTTCAAACGGTCCGACAGCCAGAGAAATGTTCGGAGCACAGGTGGGTATGTTGAGCGAGTAATGGTATGTTTTCCTACGCAGGTCGGGGGTGTAAACAACCTCGATCAAGTCGCCGTTTGATACGGCGGTCATTTCTTCGTCTACGGTGAATTCCAGTTTCCAGGTGCAGGTCTCTGCGAAACTGTCTACACAAGGAAACCATAGTCTTGATGAATTCTGATGGCCATATGTAAACATATGGACGCCTCTCTGAAATACGACTAGTGTTGTAAAGGCAAAAGGTAAATGTGCGAACTTATAATAATTTCAAAAATAATTTCTCAAACTAAACACACTTATCTCTTACTTACATCTAGAAAACACTCTACAAACATATTATAACCCTACCTCTGCATACGTTCCTTCTTTCACTGGAACAACAAAATGTATTCCGCCCTGCGGCTGTTCTAAGGAAAATTCTATACCAACTCGTAAGGCAGTACCTTCCGCAACCAAGTGAGAAGCCTCAGGTGGTATAGTAACTACTAATTCTCCTGCATTGTTATCGGGATCAACTTTTAAAGCTGCTGCCAGGTGGTAATTTGAGAATGCATCCAAGCTTCTCCTAGAAATATATAAATAATTACATTCTGTTGAAAATATGTATCATATAAGTGCTTACGTCTCAGTATCCGATTGACATACGTCCAAGAAAGGATCAAAATATTGAAAATGTGCTTCATAATCATCGTTCAGTATAACTCTATAAATACGACACTGCTTTGCGTTTAATTTTATGATGCGTAAGTTGTCACGTAAAGGAACAACTGTTAACTCCACAAAGCCCTGAAATAATTATTTTGGATTAAATTGTCACGGTTCCTTTTACTGTTTAATGCTTACAATAATACTCTTCCTTTCAAAACTTATTCCAGTTAAACTCACTATTTGATGGGCTGTAAAATAAAGAAATTATTGTTAATTATAAAATAATACGCATTGTAATTAGACATTTAAAAAAGATACTTATAATTTGAAGGGTCTGCAGTTATCTCCAGTTCTTTCCTTTTTCATGTTGTCATTGTATTTCCTCAAATTTTAGTTATGAAAAAACTACAGCATTAACAACAGTTCATACAAAAAAATCATTTAATGCTTATTTACACAGTACAATTGTTTACATACACCATTAGCGTTTGATTTTTGTTATTGGCCGTGCCACAGTTAGTTTTTTCTTTACTGTCAAGCTGTCAAGTACTGGAGAAGAAGAAGAGTGTTGTCTAAGATTGACGCTGCTGCCATCTTTACAATACTCATATGAATTAAAACTGCTCACAGAGAACTGTAATATCATAAAGCAAATTACAGTAAACTGTAAAACCGAAGTAAAGACAACTGCTTCGTTACATTACATAAGAGAAGGCGCCAGGTGAGACAATAGCGTTTCTTTTAATCATAGAAAAGAACAATTCGATTTCTATTTTGTATTGTCATAGTTAAAATAAGTGTCTTTTCTTTATATACTGGGTTATTAAAATTAACAATTTTCATCTTTTATTCAATATGTTGCAAAGATTTTAGCAATTTCAATGATTTAGTTTTAATGCATTACATTTTGCAGCGTACAGAAAATCTTATGAAATTACAACCTGTCATTGGAATAACTTATAGTTACTATAGGACACGGACCGTGACTACAGGACACTTTTGTGAGTTTCGGAAAAGAATAGTAACTATAAATTTATTTGAAAAAATATTAATTTACGGAATGGGAATATAAACTTATCCCAACATGTGCTGAAGACTATTTCGTGTTTTGAAAGAGATTTTGATATAAATACTTGTTAAATTCTATTTTTACATTGTGCCTTATGTCTATTCTCTTCGTTTAATGATTTTAACGGTAAATGTAGTAATATTTTTGTTAAAGATTAGTGCAAATTACAAATTGGTTTTTTCAATGTAGGTAGGTACTGAGACAGAGAGAAGATTTCTTATTTACCTACTTACTAGATATAAAAATATATGGGCTTACTCACCAATAAGGTTTGCATTTTTGTGATTTATAGATATAAAAAACCTATACTCTATCTTTAATTAATGCAACCTCATTTTATACTTGACGATGGTAACGATAGAAATTAGGTGCCACCCCGAGACTCCTCAAGGTAAGTGACTATCTACTTTAAAATAAAACAATAACGTAAATAAAATAATTTTTAAGGTTAGGGTCAACGTCAACCATAAATTCAGTAAAGTGTGAAGTGAAGTGAAGTTTGCGGTAGTTCATTTGCATCTCTACTGCTAAAATCGCTACAGGGTTAGCATAATTTACGAATCTGTTTTACACAAAAACGCAGAATCGACCTGTTAAGATTATTTTTAGAAATATTGTTTTTAGTTTGCTTACCTTTAAAATTAATTTAAAAAAAAACTAGTGTTTCCGAGTATAAACAAATTGTACTTGTTTGCCACAGACCACCCTATGGTGTATGTATATAAGGCAGAAATGAGTAACTTCGTTTCTTATAGATTATTAATTACCTTTGCCTTACTCTCCCTTCCAGGTACGAAATAATGAATAAAACATAACCAAGGTATTAAACGGTGGAGGTGCAAGTTAAAGGTGTCTCCCCCTTGGTAATGAACCCAAGGGATTTATTCAGAATCCTATATAAAAGTGGATATTAATACCACCCGCCACTTTAACTACCTGTACTTCGAAGGCAATATTCGCAACAGGTAGCAGGTGCCGGCACTGCTAAATAGAGGAATATATCGCCGGATGCCCTATTAATTGGTTCAGTTTTTAAGCCCTTTAATTAAGAGAGGGTTAAATAATTTTAATTTGCTTATTTGCGCGCTCTGAAACGGCGTAGGTTTTTACGGCGTAATTCCTAATTGGTGCTTTGTGCTCTCTTTGCTTACGTATTCATTGCGTGGGCGAGACTAATTGCATCACTGTCGTTTTTGCAGCAGGATAATGTCACCTGAATTTTATCAAATCGCCTGCTTGTCTTATGGAACAGAGACTCGAATATGATGAAAATGAAATTGGGTTAAGTAGATTTAAATTAAATCTTGGAAATACAAGGTGATCCCGTTTAGGTGCATTTTAAATGAAACGGGTAATAGAAAAATTAATTTAAGTAAAAAGTTTCATGTAAAAATTAAAAAATATCCGGAAACCTTAATAAAAAAAAAGGTACAAGTTGTGAAAGTTTATTTTTCTGTTTCTGAGTTTTCACAGATATTTACAAAATTTTGCACATATGGTACACGGATTGAGGGCCATAATAGGAAATAATACTTATTAATAAGTTTCCAACTCTACCATTGGCGGAGTTATGGGTAACTATTGACATAATTCAGCATTTAATTCTAAAGAAAAGATGTCTCTTGATATTTTTTTGTATGACCCCATGTTTTAAGAGTGTTTCATTTCTGAGGAAAAATAGAAAGTATGCTGAGCTTTAAGGAAATTACTTGACTTTCCCAAAACTGTTATGAGATAGTAAAAAACAACTTGATATGGATTGCAAGGGAGTGCGCAATAATTATTGATTAACTCGAATACAAATAACTAAGTGTAATGGGGTAAATTCCATTTTAATTCAAGGTTATAATCTACATCCCAAATGGTGTCGATTTAACCAAACTTGCTTTAACGAAAAATGTTACAGGGTGTTAAAGTTTCTTTTTTTTATTTCTTGTTTTCTCAACTCAACTTCTGCTGCTTAGTTTATCTTCATGAAGTGGAGTACGCAGTGATTATTAGGTCAAATCATACAGGGCGTTCATTTTACTATAACCCTTTGTGAATATTCTTCTGTAACTTTTTTGTACGCTTAAATTTTTACACGCAACTATTAGAAATAGGTAGAGAATTTTATTCTACACAAAAAATGTACACCTATCAAAAGTCGAAATTATGCTCGGTTATGAAGATATTACAGAAAATGTTTATTAACACACCTCATATTTTTCGAATTATAATGAATTTAATTAATTGCAACTTATTAAATTCCAATTATAAGAAACGATTCAATTACCGACCACAAATATGAGGGTATATCACAATTTTACAACTACATACTCTGTACATATATAGATTTTTTTAAAACATATTTAAATATAAGTGTTACCATATTAAATTTAATAATTATGATGACTTAGTGTCGCAATAAATTAAAAATTGCAATCTAGAAAAAAATACTAAATAAGTAGCACATGATATACAGGATGATTCACAAATTATCCAAAAAATGAGTCATCGTAAAAAATTTTTGTAAACTCCTTATATGTATTTGGGGCATTCCACGCAATATCTACCATTTTTAACCCTGACCCCTTTGAATTAGGCTGAAACTTTTTTATTGTTTTCTACCCCACTGAAAACCTCTTGAGAATTTTTTCAAATTTCTTCACCCAACTCCAAAAAAGTTATGAATTTAAAAAAAATAGCTTTTTTTTAAATAACCATAACTTTTTCAAAAATTGAGTTATCGGGACGTTTTTTTTTCAAAATTTATTTTTTAAATGTACTTTGAAAAATTTAGATCAAAATTGTCTGGGCCTATCTTCAGTTTTTTTTTCAATTTTCGAGAAAAATGAAAATTTCTCGATGATTACCATTTTTGAATTTTTTTTATTCTTATAAAAAACATTTTTTATAAATTTTTATAAAATGTATATAGAAGTCCAAAATTGGAAAAATTTATTCTATGCAGCGAATTTCGAAAAGTCAAAAGAGGATGGTTTCAAAATGATTTGAGTTCAAATGCGTTGCATGCTTTTTTTTAAAGCCCACTGTTCGTCCAAAAATGGACCAATACCAACTTTTTTCATTTTCTTTGTTTTTGGATGTAGTTTTCGAAAAAAATACAAAAAAAATTATTCAAAACGATCTGTTTTTTCTTACCGTTTTCCAAAAATCGAATTTTTTTTTCTTATTTACCACTTTCAATTATTTCTTTTAAGTATATATATATTTTTTCAATTTTGGGATTCTATATACATTTTCAAAAATTTTCAAAATGGTGATGTGAAATAAGCTAAATTTTAAAGAAATGTCTTTTCAATCAATAGAAAAAATAGAAAACGAAAAACATCACTGAAAAAAATTTGAGGATATATATAAAAAAATGTTAGTTTTTTTATAAGGAAAAAATAAAATAAAATAAAATAATGGTTAGGTATCGAGAAATTTTCGTTTTTTTCGAAAATTAAAAAAAAATAAAACAGTGAACATAGGTCCAGACAATTTTGATCTATTTTTTTTCAAAAAGCACATTTAAAAAAAAATTGAAAAAAAACGTCCCGATAACTCAATTTTTGAAAAAGTTATGGTTATTTAAAAAAAAGCTATTTTTTTTAAACTCAACTTTTTTGGACTTGGGTGAAGAAATTTGAAAAAATTCTCAGAGGTTTTGAGTGGGGTAGAAAACAATAAAAAAATTATTGAAGTTGTAGTACTTTCAAGCATTACATCGCTAGACAACTGTAGTCTCTAGCGTCATTCGCAATACGCGTGGAGAGCCACGTGGCCTCTGCGGCTCCAAATACTGAAATCCGATTTTACAATCGTGTTCCGATAGTGTTTACAATAGTTTTTCAGCAGTTAGTGTCAAAAATGGCTTGCGTGTATAGCAACTCGGAGTTGACGTATATCGTTTTAATTTATGGTGAAGCAAGACAACATTTGTATTATGGTGAAACATTTGTGTTAGTTCTTAGAAACTGTGTAAGACGGGCCCAAATGTGTTTACATCTCGGTGGTCAAAATTTTGAACAGTTGTAATATCAGGTATGTCAAATTATTTTATTAAGTAAAACCGCAAATTAATTTGATTAATACATAATAACAATAGCGGTAAAAGCAGTTGAATTTGTTGATATAAAATAGTTGTTATAAAATTCTATTTATTTCTTTCCTTGTGAAATTCTTTTAAGCAGTTGTTCTTTTTTTATAACACTTCGCCTTGTGTAAGGTCAGGTTTTCCAGTGGATCAATTTCCAATGCCGTGCAGAAATGTATTTATAAAATCATTTTTGAACTACCCTTTCTTTATTTACAAAATTGTATTTGTAAGAGTCCCCTGAACATTCAAATGTTTTTTTTTTTGTATAAGTTCTGAATCACTGTTTTTACATTTTTAAAACAATATAGAGTTAAGTGTTATTTCTAAAACGATTTTTTTTTTGAAACTCTCAAAGGATCATACAACTTTTTTCGGGAAATCGTTTCCGAAAATCAAAAATAAAAAATTTACCGTAATAGTGATTTTCGTAAAGAAACTGTACGTAGAAAATAATAAAAGAATACAAACTGTTTGATGTATTCCAAGTTATTTCACAATATTCCAAGTTATTCCGTCATTCCAGTGTATTACGTTTACAGGGGAATAAATAATATATTTAGTAGTATTGTGTTTATATTTCTTTTTATACCCACATATTCCACTAGTATTCCGGTTTATTCTACTTAATCCACTGTATTCCATGTTATTCCGATATATTTCCACCGTATTGCCATCAAAATATCCACTGATTTTGGCTTATGGATCACCCCTCGATACTGAATCTGGTATGAGTGAATTGCAAATCACACTACTGGGCTTTAATTAACTTAACTATTCCTGAACTTCTACATGGGTCAATTACTCCCCTTTTTGCGAATTAACTCCTTTTTAGCGGTAATTTGGTATGTTTTTAACATTTTAAATATAGTGTTAGTAAATTAAGATTAATCGAAAACTTATTGGGACGATTTATAAAAATTACAAACCGCTTTCAACCACCAACCAACGAACCCGTCTACCCTGACCCACGATTCAATCCACGAATAAATAAAAAAAACGCTAATTATCCGGGCTGCTAGTTTCGCGGCGAGCAACTTTTACACTCAATTTCGATAATAATCAATTCACTATTCATTTTCCGGGCATTAATCGAGACCGGGCGTCTTTCTTCCAGCGGCACCGGCATAAAAACCTCGGCGTGTGCCCCTACCACCACCACCACCGCCGCAAGACCGCGGTCCGAAGGGGCCTGGGTCGCCGCTACCATGCAACATGGTGTCGGCTTCGCCCAGTCAGTAGTAAACCCACCGTATGGGCGTGCTGCTGGTTCCCGTGGCTCACGTCTTGGTTTGTTTACATTCGCGCGGGTGCACGATACCTAGACTTCACGCGGTTCGAGGAAAACTATGAGACCGGCGTCGGCTGGCGAACGTCGCGTGGTGAAGAACAGGTGAACCCCATGCCGGGAAGTGCCAAAATGAACTACAGAAACAGGAGGTTGTTGCAGACCGTCTCGTGCGCGGTCCTGATCGCGTACACCATGCTGCTGGTGTATCAGACTCTTTCACGTGGTGGTCCGGAGGTAGGTGGCGATTTTGCAGGCTTTTTTTTTTAACAAAGGCGTCACGTAGATGTAGTCGTTGGTATTCCGAAGCAGTCGTTTCTGCGACAGTCTTTAATTTTGTTATTAATGTTTTGCGGTTGACATTTCTGCTGGACTTGTTAATTAAGGCTGGTTTTGGTGGTGCCGATTTAATAACTTTATCCGAAAATTATTCGGTAACAGACTAGTGGTTCGCAATAAAACTGGCGCCAATATTTTTTTTTTCGAAAATTAATAGGGTCGACAGTTATGATGTAAAAACATTGAAATTAAGTTCAATCTTGAAGTGTTTTCAATAAAAACTGACTTAACAGTCCACGAAGCTTCAAAGTAAATCCACCAGTAGAGTCATACAACAGCAGAATTTTATACAGGGCGTTTCATAATCGTATGTCCCTATTCGGGGGGTCAATCTGCGCATGATTTTAAGTAAAAAAGTTCTGTTTTTTCTTTGTACTTCTCACAATTTTTGAGATATGTAGCTCAAATTTGGAATGTAGACTAATTTAAATTACTTGCATCATTAGCCCTGCCGAATAGTCGTCACGATCTACAGGGTGATACTTTTTCTAGGGTCGGGCCTCTTTTTAACCCCCTAAACATTCTTCCGGTACGCCACTAGTCTCTTTTAGATTAATTCCCTGTTCAATTTTGAAATTTTTTTGCCACTTGCAATGTTTTCATGGCTGCTGTTTTCGAGCAAAAAAAAAATAAAAAAATAATTATTACTATTTTGTTTTACTAATTTTGACCTTAAAAACTACTTCTGCCTATTTAGATAATTATTAACTGAGTTAATTATTAACTATTTAATTACTTATTCATACAGAACAACAAAGAATAAACAGGGCTAATTAACAAATTTTAGAAATCATCGGTTGATGTTGTAGAATGTCGTTACTATTCGTTAAGAATAAATAACAAATTAACAACTACAGTAAGGCGTATAGGTATGTATAAAAAAAATTGCACCCCAAACGTAAACTTTCGAAAGATAATCAATAAGTTACACTCTGACATAAGATAGTGCATTTTCTTAATTAGTTGTTATTAGTGATTAAATGTTCCTAATAGCAGTTTTACATTGACAATTTATTGACGAATTAATTCATGAAGTCGCTTCATCAAGAAATTGGACAAGTGTAATGCACCAAATCTGCTGTCAAATAACTTCATGAATTTATTCATCAAGTTCTTGAGGCATTGGAGCATGTTCTAATTTTCGTCAATTTCTTCGTGAAGTTCGGAAGTACCAACCCAACAGATTTCCAGACTCAGATCAGTAATGAGGTTATGTTATTGAAATATGTAAATAATTGTGTAGCGTCGTACTAGTTTTGCATTGTTTTTACTGATTTGTTACTTACAAACACTAATCTTATATATAAAATTCTCGTTCGTTCCGTACTCCTCCGAAACGGCTTGACCGATTCTCATGAAATTTTGTGAGCATATTGAGTAGGTCTGAGAATCGGCCAACATCTATTTTTCATACCCCTAAATGTTAAGGGTGGTCCACCCCAAATTTTTTTTTTATTTTTTGGACAAAATTTTCCGTTTTTATTTTTTCATGATTCAGCATTGAAAAATACATACAGTTCTAAATTTTCACCCTTATACGATCAACCCCTGATTTTTAATCGCGATTTTTATATTATTTTGTTCCATCCACAGTTCCACAAGATGGCAACACAACGTTTGCTGGGTCAGCTAGTATTTATATAATATGTGTCAAAACGGTACCGATGTTGAACTATTACAATAATTATGAGTGGATTGGCGACATGTTTTAAATTTAGTTGCTTCTTTGATTTGTTGGTAGAGCTGATTCATGTGTCAAAGAAATTTGTAGCAGTGTAAAACCAAACCGTTTACAAATAAATTCGTGAATTAATTCATGAAGAACTTCGTGAATGTATTCATGAAGAAATTGTCCATGTAAAATAGCTATAATTTAGCGAGTTACAACAAATCATTTTTATTTTTTTGCTCGAAAACGACAGCAGATACGAAATCATTGCAAGAAACAAAAAGGTTTCTAAATTGAACAAGGAATTAAACCCTTCTTCTAGAAAAGACCAGTGGCGTATAGGAAGAGAGTTTGCGGGGCTGAAAGGACACCCGACCCCAGAAAAAGTTGATCGTGACAAGTATTGAGAAGGGCTAATGATGCAGATAATCTAAGTTAGCCTACGTTCCAAATTTAAGTTAAATATCTCAAAAACTGTGAGAGATACCAAGAAAAATCAGAAAAATTATTGAAACTTTAGCACCATGGTAACAAGGCATTTACGGACATATCTTCATATGAACTTTTTACTTAAAATCATGTTTAGATTGAGTCCCCTGAATAAAGACACATCCTGTATTTTTAAAATCAATATTTTTGTGAAGATGTCAGTGATGTGTCTTTAATATTATTAGTATTTCTTTAAACATCTTGAATTCGATTTAAACATTAACTATCACCGTGAATTTGTCATCTAAGGTCATTCTAAAATTGAAAACAGTAACAAGACATATTTTCAAATTGAGTTTCATGCTTATTTAAATCATTACCTACTAGATTTCTTTGAAAATGGAAAGATCCCCGCAAAATAACCATTATTACTTACTTTTTTACGGTGCATGAATATAAATTACAGCTTGGAATAAATAAAGCATTAATTACATCGACTGAATATATCAAAAACAGACACGAGGCACGTGATACGTATCTCAAGTGACCAGTAAAAATGCCATATAAAATTCTTACAATAGCAACGTTGCATACCTTTAACTTAGTAACTTGTTTCAAAACGGATTCGATTTTTGGTATTTGGAATATCCCGGACTTGTCACTCGCCGTTTTTTACTATAACACGAAGTCTATTTGGCGTTTAGTTTGTAGAAAGCAGGTAGAGTTCTTAAATATCAGGATGTGGCCTCCAGCCCTGTAGGATTGCTAAATTGATATGGTTATTGCTTCCGAAAATTGCTTAGACAGGTCCATTTAAGGGGAGCTTTTATACATACACAGAACTGTTTAAAAGGTATTTAATGTTTTAACACAGAAAATAAATATGTACAAGTAACTTTACTGCAATTTTTTTAATTACTAATTTACAGATCTCTGAATTTTGTAAAAACAAATTTGTCGCAGTTGATGATAATTGACTGGCGCTCTTTGTTAAAGCCGGTAAATAAATGAATACGTTGCCAGGATTCCTTAACTAAACACACTGTATATACTGTTTGGTGGTGGTACGAATTTTGCCTGTATAAAAGCTCCCACTAAGTGATTGGTAAGCTTACTTGCAATTGGGAGAACCCATCAAGTCATAATTAATGAATTTTTTAATTTATTTTTATACGGAAACATGATTTAGTGATTTTATGCACAACTAAAACTTTGTTGCTCTGATGTTACTTTTACGTATCTTCTTGGGGAGTGGCCATTCCTATATGGAAGTTAATTCGGTGCAAAGTTTAATCACGGTGCATGTAAACCGAAAACCAGCGGTTTAACTCCGTTGTCGGCACTGATCTCATATAGTCGTTTTTGGTGACCTTGGATGGAGAAGCCCTGATCAGAACCATCACTTGTGTGATATGTCTGCATTTACTTATGTTATAACGTTAATTATATTCGCAAATAAAGAGTTCTAAATGTCTCTAATAGTTGGTATAATTACATTTTACAGCAAAATGTTAGAGTATGTATCAAAACCCTCTAAAATTATTTTGGTGTCATGCTCCTTCAAATTTTTTGTCATTAGTTCATACGCAGTTATATTTTATATTTGTAATAATACTAGCTCGATTATTTTTATTTATTTATTTTATCTTCAGCATGTTATTTACTAAATTGAAAAAGCAAAAGTAGTATAGTCTTTCCGAAGTCAGCTGAACAGGTAAAAAAACGCCTGGCAATAAAATTTAATGACTTTCATAGGCGCCCTTAAAAAAGTTTTCTGTTAAAGGTATAATAATTTGTATATAATCTGTAGAAAATTTATTTTATATGTTCAAATGGCCAACAACATATTTTAATTATTTATGTCTTCAAACAATTTTATTGTATTGATGCTAAATTTCGTTTTGTTCCGTTTCAAAAGGTTTCCAAAATGACATGTTGTAACAATATTATTTCTCCCTTTCGCAATTGTAATATCAATTATTAATAGAAGGTGCCTATAATAAATTAAAATTTCCTGAATCACACGAAATTCCGCATTCCTGCACTGCACTGCTGGGCAATTTGTCAACCACTTGTCTTGTTGAGATTTATTGCTCAGTGGCCCAATGCGTGTTTGTATTTCGTTTGCCCGCGCTCGCATTCTTCAACTGGGCGCATACATTTAATCTAAAGCATCCAGTTGATGTAGCCTATAATTGGCCCAATATTTGTAGTGGGGCCAGATAAAACAAAACTGAAAGTTACCGATTCAAGTGACAAAAAAATTGCGCAATACAATTTCTTTTGACAAAGTATTTGTTTAGTACGCTGTTAAAATTGTTCGCAACGTTATAGGCTCTTAATAAGTCATTAAAAACTTTCTCTCGCTCCACAATAACGTTGTTGAGTGGAGATTTTTTTTTTGTAATTTATTAATTACCTGCACACGGCTTTAAGTCCCGCTGAGTATTTCCCATGGGCTTTCCGCTCGCCGTGTGTGAAAACATCTCGGCATTCGTAGATATAATTAATTATTTTTGCTGGGTAAGACATAAATATCCTGCGATTTCCAGGTGGCAGCTGGTGACAAATTAAGCGCGAAGGCTTACCACCGCGACAGGAACTTGGCCGAAGATCGGTCGACGAACGAAATTGAGATTCCTCAGGAAGGTTTCACCACCGAGATGGCCTCCGCCACCGCCACCATCAAACCGCCCACGACTACCCTCGATGATGTTTTTATTAGCGTGAAAACTACTAAGAACTATCACAGTAAGAGGCTGCCCGTCATTCTGAAGACCTGGTTCCAGCTCGCGAAGAAACAGGTGAGCCTAATTCAAATATATTTAAATAAGTGTCTCATTTCTGTGGTGTGTTTTATGTTTTTTTTTAAGTTTTCTAAAATCCTATGAAATTAAGTCAAACATGTTTTTTATATAAAAAATCTGGGTGTAGACGTAAGGTATATATATAGGGTGTTTCAGAAGACCTCCCGTAAATACAGGGAGTGATCGTACGACAAAAAATAAGAATTTTTTTGTCTTATGAACTATATGTCTGTATCCTCTTGTTTTCGAGATACAAAACGAGAGTTTTCGAGAGCGACAAAATAAAATTTTTTAAATAGAATTTTTAAGAAAATTTCCAAACATTGCGAAATATTTTTATGAAATTTGGCATTCCGGGGTTTTTAAGAATGCCAAATACGCTGGTCTAATTATTTTTTGGATATTTCATAGAGGGCGCTAGTTATGCTACATTCCTATTACTAATAGGACCTATTACATTTTAGGTTCTAATTTTTTTAAGGTTAGGTTTTTTATCATTCGGGCTCCAATTTCTAATGTACAATTTTATTTTCTAAAAATAAAGTACTCTTGTTAGAACTTGCTAATGTGGACGGTTTTCGAGAAAAAAGGCTTTAAAATAAACTCTTACAATATTACGGCGTATAAAATAAGTGACTTCTCAAAGTAGACTTATGTCAACTTACATGGATGTCTCATAAACAACGCATAGTAATGTTCTTAGTAATATTTTAAACTCTAATTAATTAACCTTATATCAAAATTTTAGTGATGCTCATACCTTTAAAATAAATGCATTTATTTAAAAATATATAATCAGTAGTAGGTACAGAAAAAAAACCTTATGGACAAGTTCACAACTATTGTCGTCTACCACTCAAGTCTTGAATTATTGTTAGAACTCATTGAGATGAATGGAAATAAATAAATAAATAATTATTTTTAAACTTTAGAACATGGTTTAAAATATATCGCCTTGGAACTATGTATATAAAATCACTAAAATCTAATTAAAAGATTTAGAAAGATCAAGTTCCTAATAAAAAGAATGTTTGATGTAATAGAGAAAAAGAACAAGATATAGCCAAAAACAGTAGATTACACATGATTGGGTACTTCGGTTAAAAAGTAAAATATTACAAAATGAATTTGGCAATATGTGGAAGTTTCAAAATCATGATTTTTATCTTGGAACAGTAATCAGGATTTGTTTCCTATGATTATGAGACAATAGAGATAGCAAAAAACTTGTCCTAGCCGAGGAGATCTTAATCCAGAATCCAATTGCAAGAATTACAATTGGAATTATTTCAAAACATTTCATGAAAAGTTTAGAAATTCCCTGACAATATTACCAAATCTATGAAATTTCCAGATATCTTTTGGTTTTCTTGATTTTTAGTGTATCTCAAAATAATGAGAACTAAAAGTTGTTGACCTCTGACTTGTTTTTTTTAGAAAACATACCCCCGCGTGAGTGGAAGCAAAGTAATGTAAACAAACAAGCTTTTGGTAGGAACTCGTAACCCCTATATGCACTCTCACGAACAAAACAAGACGACTTCCGATAGCGGCGTGCGACACAAACAAATCAAATTCTATTAGGGGAATATCGTGGGTAAATTATCAAAATACAAACGGCACCCGATACAGTTCGGAGATCAAGTGATTCGGACACGTTTGTTCGGTGAAGACGACAACACACCTTATTGTCCCACAAAAATAATGACGCACGCTAAACGCGTGCATTACCCGTGGGAACGCACTGGGTCCCGGTCCCCCAGTATCAATTATAATAAGGGCTACCAGTGGGGCAGTGGCGTAGAAAACAGGGGACGCCGTGGGGAAGGGGGCAATCGATATGCCTTGGAAAATGAAACGGTGTTATTTTGCCAGTAGCCGTAAATGTAAGATAAAAAATAGTTCCACATAAATTTTGCTTTTAGTTGTAATACTTTTTCTATTTTCATTTTTTTTATACGTTCAACTGTTTGCGAGATATTATCAGTTGAAAATCACTTTTGTTGAGTTCTCAATCTTAATATACGAATATAGGTACTAGTTGGAGAAATGTTCATTTCTACTATTTTCTTCGAAATCAACGCATCTGAATTTGTTTTGCAGAATCAGTCAAATTTATGTATTTGAAAATTGAAAATTGTCAAAAAAATATAAAATTAACACGAAAATGCGAAATGCTTGTTCATGATCTTTGACCTCATCCATTGACATTTGACCACTGTCATTGACGTTCCATTCTAGCCAATCATTTGGCATGGGTCATTGACAACTGGCTTGACCTTTGACCCTGACCTGACTGGGTCATTAACGAGAAATTCGAACGATTTAGAAGTATTTCCAGGTTTTTCGATATATTTCAAAGTCTTGAAGGTATTTTGGTGGAAGTATTTCTAGACATTTTGAAGTTATCGAGAAATGTCAACGCGTTTAAAGGTTTTGAATGCTTGTAGGTACTATTTAACTATAAAAACTGTTGTATCTGTCTTTCAAACATATTAATTTATTTTTCAATTCACCAGTCTCTATTCCCTAGTCCGACGCCCCTGTCCCATAGCCCTTATTAGTGCGGACCAAGCACCGGAACAATATGTTCCCTATCACCCGTGTCTATCAACGGCAGAACAAAAAGCTAGGAATCACTCCCACGGGTGCCACTTTATGCTGTCCAAGTTGTAAAGGTTTAATTATTAAACCACCAAAAAGACCAACCAGCCCGGCTGTTTGCATCTTGTTTTAATTTGGTGAACATTCACAGATTTCCGCGAATTCGTTCAGGATTTATTTTTTTATGGGAAATTATTTTGCTGAGAGAAACATTTGGTTCGACATTTTTTACATAGTATACAGGATGTTCAGCAAATAATGGCGCCCCTTTTAACAGATGATAGAAAAATTAATTTTAAGAAAAAAGTTTCATGCGTGAGTAGGTCGTAGTTTGTTTCGTTTTCGAGATACAGGGTGTTGAAATTAGAAAAAAAAACCATTTTCTGTAGTGCGAGTATTTTAGGAGATTTTGGCCATTTTTTTTAAGAAAAACATCATAACGTGTTTTAATTACTGGGAATTCTCCAGCTTCACCAATTTATAGCTCTGCGTAATTAATGACTATGTCATTTATAAAAATCTTAATAAGTAACGGTCCTAGGACCCATCCTTGTGGTACACTTGACGGTAATGTAAATTAATAACAGTGTTTAATAAAGTCTACAAACTGGAGACAATTGGTTAAGATTTGAAGAATATCAGTACGTTATTAGTAATGCTAAATTTATTTAATATAAAAAGTAATATCGTATGAAGAAGACACTACATACTCTACTTGCTTCGCAGAGAAAGTACAAAATGACATGTGTGTGACAGTAAACTAAAACAATAATTTTGCTCAGGAGTTTAGAAACTGAAAATTTGATTGATGATGTTACAATAAAAAATAAAATGAAAAATAATTTACATAAAAATTTAAACGAGTTACATTAAAAACATCGGGCAATAGGTAAAGAGAAACTAGACCATATCGAACTATATATCAATTTTTTTATCAAGTACAGGTGGTCAAATACCTATACAGACAAATTTACTGCCTATTATGAAATATTTAATCCAAATATTCTTCATTTCAGCTTGTTAAATTTTTATGTACAGAATTGAATTTTATCTACCTAGAACTAATAAACACAGTTATCATTATTTATTTATTTGTTTGCCTTCTATTTGCTCAATTTGAGTTGATGCAATATCTCCCCAACCAACTTAAATATTGAAATAAGAATTTTATGACAGAATTAAAACGCACGTCTAAAAGTATTTTCATAAAACTTTATATAATAATATTTATTAGAAATTATTATTAAACAATTTTAATTTACAGTATATTGTGCAAAATTCAATTCTAAAACTTTTTTCCTCTTCAATTTTTTTGAAATTGCAAAGGTTCTAAGATATAAGTAAAAAACTCAGTATATATTTTTAAAGTTTTAAACATTTTTGCAATTTTGAAAATGTTCCGGACCTCGCCCAAATCTAGGGATCTTGACTTTTATTATCTGAGTTGTACTGAAGGTAGAAAAATTAGTTTACCCCCTCTTACATCCAAAAAGTGGGATATTTCGACAGATACGCCCTGGTCTATATTTCCATATCCCTTGGAAATGATCTAAATAATGTATCTGATATCTGAGGTTTAAATGAAAAATCAAATCATTTAGAATCGAAGGTTAATGTAATCTACAAACATATAAAAAGAGACACACCTTTCCAATTAAAATATCTGTTGGGGAGATTTTTTATAAAGAGGATTATATTTCAAAACCTTACACTTAGTTATAGTTATCATTATCCACTTAGATATTCCTTCATTATAAAAGATATCTCATACGTTATCGTTTCTATATTACACCATTTGACACCCATATCTTAATTACATTAAGAAACCCTCGTTTTTTAAATTAAATATTACACATCGCCCATGACAATCCAAAGACACCAAAACGAGTTTCTTGCAGCCTGCAGCACTAGCGAGACGAAGAGGTCCTATTAATTATGATGATGTATCACCCTTAGCGTCAGTCATTCGATACTTTCCGTTTCTAATAGACCTTTCGGCAGATAGCGGTCGAAGGAACCGTCTTGTTTATCCCTAAATATTTGAGATTAAACAAAAATAATTTTAAAATTTTATTCGGCCGTTTGCTGCATCCTCAATAAAAGTGGACGGCGAAACAGGTACTTAGGGGAATGGTTTGAGGTTTAAGATAGCACCCCTGGAGATGCAAACACAGATTAGAAATTTGATACACCGAAATGTGGTTTCGGCCAGTGACGGGCAAAATGGATGAGGGACTCAGACATGGGCGGGGTATGTTGTCAGGTCTGTCATCAATTTAATATTAAGACCTGGTGAGGTTTTAGGATTCTAGAAAACATGAGAGTTGCTTCAATCTGTAATTTTTCAGTTTCACGAAAGTAACCATCAATTGGATTTTGTTTTCTTCAATGTG